GCTGTTTCGTTGAATGATTGTGCCAAAAATGGTGAATGGTAGACCTTTTTCTTTAGAGATAATATAAAATAATTTTGGTTTTCGTTTTTTCTTTTACTGTAAATTAAAAAATGATTTAACGATTTATAGATCGTCCTTGACCGAGTTCACAACACGTTACCTTCGTGATCTGCCAATCCAGCTTATTGTTCTTTGTTTAAACGATGGAAGATCGAAACAGAATGGAAGAAAGCAGTACGACAGTGGCAAGTAGCCTCTGTAGTGTGAAATATCAACCGAGAATCAGCGTGTGTTTGCAGGCGTGACTATACTGCAAATACTGCCATGCAGTGGGCTTCACAGTGACTCTAACTGTAACAAGCAACTGAAGGAAATGCAACTATTTATGACGTAGTAAGCAATAGAAAATCATATGAAATAAATAATCCGAAATTGCTTCTGAACTCGCAGGTTGTCCATGACAAGATGTGGGTGGAACTAGGGTTGCGTAAGGTAACAGACTTGGACGTAAAGTTGTAGAACCTTAGGGTTCAGCTACAGCAGCGTTTATCATCTGATGTGTTATCACCATCCTTTCTTTATGTGGCGATAAACACCCTGTATTAAAGAAAAACAGTCAGATGCATTACAAAATAAACTCCAGGAGAAAATTCACACTGCCTTCTATGTTTCTTGTTAGTACAGCACTTTTCCACAAATCGCAGTAGAAATATATTAATTGAATTGTATGCGCGCAGTATTGTGGCATGTAGATACGTTGCTAGGCAAAGACCGCTAGGAGAGTAGCTATACAACGGCCGTTGCTAAGTAATGGCTATACAAACAACTACCGTTGCTAGACAGTGGCTGAGTAGCGATCACTTGAGCATTCCAATAGACGAATTGTGTTCTCTACGCTGTCCGTGAGGAGATGATATAAGGACAAGTCTAGAATTCAGTCAGTCCGGAGTCAACCCCGTGTGGAGGCGGGGTCGAATACCTCCACCGTGACTCTGCGAGTCGTAGGAGGCGACGAAAGGGAAGTCTCAATTCTGAGACAGTAAAATATGGTCGTGAGTCCCAAGGGACTCGGACCCAAGTAAGACTGCGCTGGCAAGGACCAGCAGCATATACAAAAGACAGACCCGTTCTCTCTTCAGAGAAGGCGCTCCACAGAAACAAGACCGTAACTGTCAAACGATAGTAATTAATATCTAGTCATGAGCCCCAAATGGGTCTCGACACCAAGACTTACTGACTGACTGACCGTCAGTCGCAACGTGACTTTGACTTTGACTCAGTCAGTCCGTTAGTGAGGTGAAGAGTAGTTGGTTGGTGAGTGAGTTAGATAACTACTGGGGCTCACATGCCGTGAGAAGTTGGTAACCGAGGCCGGGGATAGTTCGGGAACCCAGAGGAAAGGGAACGTCCGCTGTTGGAAGCCGCTACTGAACAGTGGCTAGTGAAGGCGTGAGTGTGGACGCTAGTGTGTGTGTAATAGTGAACAGTAGTCACGCGCTGTATCAAAGAGCCCAGTAAATCCGACCATAAATCCAAAACCCGTCTCTAGTCACTCTAACACGTGAAGATGTGATACATTAGTTTCTGAAGTACATATATTACACATAGAAGCCACGAGCCCAGTTAATTATCCCTAGTCTCTTGCTTTGAGTTTTATAATTTAATTTTTGTAAACATTTATCATCATTCCAACGAGCAACGCATGGTCTGTCCACCCCATCCATCATGATTTGATCACCCTAATACATGATTAAGGGTAGAATTATGAAATTCCTCATTTTTATTCATTCCTCTGTTATTTTTCTTGTCTTGGTCCAAATATTCTTCTTGGCACTTCGTTCTAAAATATATAATATATTTTCTTTACTTACAGTTACAGACCAAGCTTAATTCCCATTTGAAGTAGTAGGTAAAATGTTAAAATTATTCTAATTTTAGTTCTGTACAGTTTCATTTTTAGATTTTAAATTGGAGCTGGGAATTAAAAAAGTGTGGGACCCTCAACGTCTCACAACCCTACGGGCCTTCACGGCCTGGTACAGGGATAGCTTTACTTTACTTTTACTTTTACTTTTACTGAATTGAACTATATGAATTTAATCTCAATTTCTTCGTGAATTCAATTTCGAACTCTTGCTTCCCTTCCGAAATACTTCATTAAGTTCTCTGTTAAAAAAAATTACTGAAGCATCAGAAGTCTTCGAAAGACAATTATTTTACTACCTTACAACCAATAATTAGCCAATCTTCTTATGAAGGGCTTTATTTCATGGAGTTTGTAAGTTAGTCGTTTCCGACATTGCCTCCAGTTCAGATCAAATAACTCAGATTTTAAAGTAAAAGGTAAATTAATTTAAATCACTGAACTGTTTTCTATGTCGCTTCACACCATTGCGTTATGTATGTGAATACGCAAGAAAGAAGCCAAAAGCTTTGTTCGAAAAATGTCCCACCATTCACAAGCCTGCCTCTGGTATGGTAAGTAGATATGATATAGTTCAGTAAATCGGAGAGTCTGCTTTGGAATTTCACATCTGCATTTTGAGGCACGTGTTTGTGAAAGTGTACTGAGCAAAGAATTACCATCCTGTCCCTGGTGTTGAAGAACCTTTGCCAGTGGGGTTTGGTCACCACATGAAGATAAAGATACGCCCCTCCCCTCAGTATCGCTACGCTCATTGGACTCCTCATGTACGGGGGAAAGTGGCTGCAGACACCATAACTCAGCTCTCTAATGATCTGACCAGCTCAGACCAACAACCGCCAACAGAACAATGAATTTAGACCGTCGATTTGAAATATTCTGTAATTACACTACAAGGATCAGTCTTTCAAGTAAGAGTTAACCGGTTTTTTGTAAAAATGTATGTAATAAATATATCGTTACGCGGTAGCGTAGTTGGTTGAGACACTACACTACAAGCCGGAAGATCACAGGCTCGATTCCTGATGTGGTTATTGTTTTTTTTTTTTCAATTGAGCTAATCCTGTCCGTCTAGAAAATGTGGGAGCCTCGACGTCTCACAAACCTATGGGCCTCAGCGGTCTCTTATAGGGATAGCTTTGCCTTTTTGCCTGCTGCAGTGCATGAAGCTACAGCCGTGTTTCTCATACTTAGCATCTGCCATGTAAAATATATTCCTCTTCACAAATTCCTCAGATTGCAGATGAATGAGATTCACTCCGGATATGAAGGCCAGCTAAGCGCAATTGCGGGTGAGCAACATACACGTAGGTTGGTGCACTTGCCTGGGGATTGGGCGTGGGACTAATTCCTCAGAATAGAAATAAAATAATGTGTTACGCAATAGCCCAGAGAGCATCGGACTTGGAAGAATTATATCACATGAAAACTTGCGGAAGTAGGGTGGGAGGTGTGGTCTGCACTCAAGTGGCCCAAAGCATGGTCCAGTAGTAAGGTTCACAAACGGAAGGGAATTTCTGAACAAACAGATCGATTATCCGAGTAATGTTCTACTGCATGGACTTAGTTGTAAAGAATGATGTGGAGTCATAGTTCACCCATGCTGGCCTTAACGAACACGCACACATACGTATAGGCAGATTGCAAACCAAAAATTTATTTTCGCAATCAGGGGCCTTGAAAATGCGTACAGCCCTCAACATTTTTGGACATATTGTTTTCAGGATCGCAATAATTTCTCATATATATAATGCATAAGTGGAAAATTGAAAGAAAGGCAGAAAAAATAATGTAAATATATAAGTATATCCTGTAGAATGCAATTTTAAAATACTTTTAATTAGAAATTATTAGTGTGAATACAAAGGTTTTATAAATACCATAAGGTGGTATAGTGGTCAGAATTCCCGACTACAGATCCAGAGGTCTCGGGTTCGATTCCCGACGCTACCAGATTTTCTGAGAAGTAGTGAGTCTGGAACGGGGTCCAGTCAGCCTCGTGAAAATAATTGAGGAGCTATTTCAAGAAAATAGCGCCCCCGATCTAGAAAACCGAAATTAACGTCCTTGGGGATTCGTTGCGCCGACCACATGACACCCTCTATCCGCTAAAGTGGGCACTAACTTTGTCGACAAGCGGCGTTCGCGCGGTCGGTATAGTTCGCTTGCGAACTATAAGCCACAGAGTTCTTCTACTAAATTCCTACAGTATTCTTCCTACTAAACTCCATAACATTACGTTAGAAACTTGGCCCTGCTTGTCTGTTTCTGTCCGGATGTTCATCAAAATACAACGGCTTCTCTGAAAATTCTTTCGTTTTCATGATAATCCCACCATTCCACACTGTGTATACCATAATAAATTTGAGAAGTACCCCAGGAATTTCCGTTGTCTCTTACTAGCAATTCGGAAGCTCAGCGGTGAATGGGTTGCTCATCAATAAAGCAAAGTCACGAACATTTCAGTCGATGTAACAGATCTGCATGACCAGCAATATTACCCGAACAAAGAGACATATGAATGAGAACCAAAGCACCGATTTAGGCTGGAAATAAGACAGAAATCATTCAAGAATCGGTTGTATGAATCCGGCTGCAAAACTTCCTCTGGTCTGCAGAACAGGAAGCGGAAAGATAGGAAAATCTTGACGTCGGGACGCTCCTGGAGTAGACCCTCGTCAATGTGCCTAGCGTTCTTCAGCTAGTTGACACCAATCCAAAACACTTGTGTAGGCATCACTAACACGTGACAATATGTTGAAGGCTGGAACATGGACGAAGTTGCAGTCGAAGGCCTACTACAAAAACTAATGTGAGAAGGACCATTTTATGCAGTAATCTTCAGTATAGCTACATAGGTGGTTCTTGCACCGAGTTGGACAAGTTCTGAACTAGAGTCAGTTTCTGAAAGAATAATAGGCCAAGTATCGGTCTTGTAATAACGTCTGTAATTTCCTCCCCTTGTCTGGTTCCGCCTATAATGACCAATCCTCTCGCCAAATGCCGTCTGTCCTTTGTCTTCCATGAAATGTAAGCAACTAAAACTCCATTGTGTAATGGTTCGTTTCTTTTTAAGGTCAAACAGTACGGCAAGGAAGAAACATTTTTCTGCGTCAGGGTCTTTGGATCGCTTCCGAATTACGTTAGGGATTACCAAATTCATGGACCGGAGACCTCGAGAAGTCGCTACTCCCTCAGATGGCCAGGTGAGGACTTCTTCTCTATTTTTGTGTGCCTGAAGGATGATTACCATCGTGACAAGAGCCCACAAACTGTTTTACATTTCTGGAATGAAACCTGCTCCTTCGCCCTTCTCTTTATTTGCAATGACTCAATCCTCAGAAGTCGGTCCTGAGATTCGGAAGTTAAACCGGTCTCTGTTCAACTTTCAGTTCTTCACTCCGATAATAACATTTGTAGGTTAACGTATTGAGATCCGTCTATACAGCAACTGGATATGAAGTTAATAAGACCAATAAAACGACAATATTAACCTTATTATTACTCTCACCATCACATGCATCGATCTACTGATCATCCTCAGGTGGTAAAATAAACAGACGCAAGTTCAGCAGGCCTCAGATACAATTGATCCATTCTAACGATTTTTAATTTTGAAAATAAATACATTGTAATTCATGTCTGATAACCTTAACATGCTTTCGTAAAGCCACCCGAGGGCAATTATTCGTTGTGAGAGAAATAATAATTTGCATATTACCACTTTATTGGAGAGCCGAGATAACCTCTTCGATATAGCGACGGGCTACGGGCTGGACGACAGAGGGATCAGACTTCGATTCCCGGTGGGATCAAGAATTTTCTCTTCTCCACATCGCCTAGACCGTCTCTGGGGCCCACCAAGTTTCCTATCCAGTGGGTACCGGAGGATCTTTCCCGGGGGTAAAGCGGCTGTGACGTGAAGCTGACCACTCACCTCAAACTAGTGCCGAGGTCAAGAAAATGTGGATCTATACATCCACTCCCCATATGCTCTCATGGCGTAGTGCTTAATTAGTTAAGCACAGGGACATCTTTACCTTTATTTTTATTGCCACTTTATTAATATCATTAATTATATACTCAGTTATATAAGCGGACCCGGTAGCGTATTGGTTAAGGCACTATGCGGGTTCAAATACCGGTAAAGTCATTGGATTTTTTTCAATTGACCTAATCCTTCCGGCCGCACTATGGCCCTGGGGGTTCACTCAGACTCTAAGGCACTATGCTACAAGTCGGAAGGTCGCGGGTTCAAATACGGTTGAGGTCATTGGATTTTTTCAATTGACCTAATCCTTCCGGCCGCACTATGACCCTGGGGTTCACTCAGACTCTAAGGCACTATGCTACAAGTCGGAAGATCGAGGGTTCAAATACCGATGAGGTTACTGAATTAATTAAATTATTTTCCTGGGGAGTAAAGTGCGGCCAGCGTGTAAGGCTGACAACCTTACCTCCATCTTTGAGCCGATTGTCTAGATAATGTAGGAACCTCAACGTCTCACAACCCTATGGGCCTTCATGGCCTGTTACAGGGATAGCTTTACTTATTTTTCACTTTATACAAGCGGACCTTCGTATCTTAATTAAACACACATATATATTACAGGACGCAAACAAGGAAGATGTTTGTCGGAAATTTGATATTGACTTACGGTTCTGTACTAATATCCAATAGAGATGATAATTTTGCATTGCTTCAGTTCTATCAGTTATTTGTAGTCTGCTTCTTATTTCTTCATTTCTTAAAACTTCTTTCTATAGCCTCTCAAAACACGCTTGTCACTGTATTTACAACTTTCTTTAATTTTGAACAGTTTCGTAATTTTGATGCCAGACTGTATTTTTGCTTTCATATGATTCTCAGAATATACAGCGATTATTTCTCTGAAGAGCACAAAACGATGGCCTTCTAACACAGAAGGACTTTGGTACTGATTTCTAAACATTATTTACATGAGTTGTGTGTTTCGAAATGTCAATGTATCTAGACATAACGTAACTACGTAAGAAATATCACGTGTGCAACCTTTGCTATTGTTCCTCCGTGTTTTCACATAATTCATCTTTGACTTAACTTGACTTGGGAAAATATTACAGGCTCACCTGTTCAAGAAATATCCGGAATTTTGTGGAATCAAAATATTCATTACCGAATTAACAAGAGCCCGTTACTGCTCCCTATTCTCAGCCATTGAACCGAGTTCAGTCCTCAAACCTTGTACTATTTCAGACCCCTGCTGACTTCACTCATAATTACTTTTGATAGCAAATGAAGTGCTTTTGTTAGAGACCAAAGATCTCCACGTTAGTATGATTATGAAGTGAAAGTATTTGCATGGAAACCCGTGCACCTATACTGTAAAGATTTGCATAAATTTGTCTAAGCTGACAGCTCGGTGTTAAAATTTGGCATATTTCACCTCTGAAGTGAGGTGTTGCTAAATATATTTCGAAGAAATATAACATTAAAAAATTTGAATTAAAATCTTTTGGTCGAAATTCATTTCCGTTTGTATCTGTCATAATCTATACTTCAAATGCAGGTCAAATCGAACTTTACCAAGTCTAAAAATACAAACAAACAAAATAATTGTACATTTTATATAATATTGTATTCTGTATCCACAATTATTTTTCAACTTCTTTCAGTACCGGTTAGCGAGAACATTCAACTCATCTTAATTTCAATACCTGACGAGTAAGAATAAGAAGAATATAATAAACCCAGTGGTTTTAATCCGCAAGCGAACTATACCGACCGAGCGACCGCCGCTTGTCGGTGAAGTTAGTGCCAACTTTAGCGGATAGAGGGTGTCGCGTTGTCAGAGCAACGAAACCTCACTGCCGTTAATTTCGGTTTTCTAGGCCGGAGCCGCTATTTCCTTGAAAGAGCTCCTCAATTATCCACACGAGGCTGAGTGGAGCCTGTTCCAGATCCACCACTTTTCAGAAAACAATCTGGTAGCGCCGGGAATCGAACCCGGACATCTGGATCTGTAACCAGGAACTTTGACCACTAGACCAGAGGCGGTCAGGAAAATACTAGTATATAGTGGTATATATTTTTAATGTAACCCCAAGCTTATCTGAAATCAACAATCGTCCATTATTTTCCTGGGTTTCTTTGGAGACTTCTCACAGTTTGGCAGACTACAGCTGTTGTTTATATAATATTTCATAATATTTTGTTTCAATATTCATATTTACGTTAAGTATCATCATCACACTCAGGTTCTACAGGCGTAATTCTCATGACATTGTGACGTCACTCGCGAGATCGCAAAGTTCACGTGACCCCTACTTCCCGTTGCGTCATCCACGTCCCGCGAATGTGGAATAAATTCGCCATATATTTCTGTAAAATAATACAAATTCCACGGTCAACGCAACTGTAATTTATTAACTTTTGTTCTACTACATGGTTCGACCCTTATAATGTCATCTTCAGGTGTTATGATTTATATATTTTTCATCATTGAATTGTAACGCTTGTATTCATGTTTAAATACACAAGCTTAAATTAACTACTTTATATGTAAATTTATATTCTACCTGCTAGATGTTGATTTAAATACCTGCTATACATGAATTAAAAGTTACAAATTAAAAATTTATTTTACTAATTTTTAAAATAAATTTAAAAATGTCGTATGCTGTATTCAGATTCGTGTCTGTTGCTGTAGTAGACCCCGCATCTTTTCGTCTGATTCCTCTATTATTGGTTAGACTTTGTGTTAACTGTTTCTTAAGCACAAATTTATCTTCTTTCTTATTACCGGAATGTCGTTTGTTACTGTTGTGTTGGTAGAGTTCATAGCTTGTACTCTTCTCCAAGTATAATAAGCATGTTCAAGTCAAGGAGGATGGAGTGGGCAGGATATGTAGCAAGAATGGGGGCAGAAGAATGCATATAGGATATTCATGAGGAAGCCAGAAGGAAAGAGCCCACTTGGAAGACCAAGGAGTAGGTGGGTGAACAATATTAAAATGGATCTTAGAGGGATACAATGGGAAGGCATGGATTGGATTGATCTGGCTCAGGATAGGGAAGAGTGGATGGCTCTTGTGAACACGGTAATGAACCTGCGGGTTCCACAAAATGCTGCGAAATTCTTGAGCAGCTGCAGAATTGACGGCTCCTCAAGAAGGGCTCAGCTCCATGGTAAGAAGAGTTAATTTTCCCACATAAAATTTCAGAACAAGATGTAAAGTACAAGGAAGCACGACTTGCTGTAGTCAGTTGAACTAGAATAACCACAGATTATTTAGCCCATATGCATTTTAACACAATATCGATTTTATTCGTTTATATGAAATTTATGACAAGGATATTTTGCATCTTTTTGTACAGGCATGTGTCAATTGCAATATCTTCCCTTTAATATGGTACACACCCTGAATACGGTCTTTTATGACCGAAACATGCCGAGGTTTTAACAACATTTAATCAGCACAATGAAATAAACGAAACATACGTAGTAGTACGTAGTACTTAAATGTTAATTTACATCTTGTCCTTAAAAATAATACTTTGTAAGATTTTGTGCTGGGTTCAAGTGCCTTAGGATGGATCCATTGGCGGGCCCTTGAGAACGTGGTAAAGGGCACGTGGTCCCGTAATAAGTAGGATATATTATTGACTAACTAAATGACAATCAACGCTACAAAAATATTTCTGCCCCATGGAAATTAATCGTAATAACCGATAGCTGTATAAAGGATTCCTGAGATCTTTTGCCTCTCGAGGGACTTTTGCCACGCTCATACAAAAATACTATGGCATGCAGGCCCGTTGGTAGGCAGCGGGCCGCAGACAGCAACAGAGGAATGATGTTTTCTGTGCTGTCCGCCAGACAAAAATCGAACAGCAACAGAGGAACGGTGTTTTTCGTTCGGTTCGTGCCGAAATGTTTTAAGTAAGACAGTTGAAGCAATGAGTGAATTGTGGGACAGTCGCCAGTCGGTAAGAATGTGAGGATGGAAAGCAGAGGACTTTGTTGAGATCCGTCACCAGGCAACGACTGGTAAAGACATAGTACGTGTTGCAGTGAACTGCAGTGTGTGTGAATTAGCGATAGCGCTATAGTTACTTGTAGATGCGTTCTGTAAATGTTCAACAGACCTAGTTACCAATCCAAACCTCGTCTATAGTCCCTCATACACGTGACAACAAATTCCATCTGGCCTTCAAGTAAGAACG